ACATCTTCTTATGGGTGTCTACCAAGTCTGTTTAAATAAACAAATAAAAGCCCTTGGGTAAAAATTGGCCCGGGGGGGGGGGGGGGGCTATATACATGTGAGCGACCTCAGGGCCATCATGGCCCTCTTGTAAGAATTGGTAATGCTTAATTGAAAAGATGGTATTTAAGAAAAAGTTACTGTACCTGCATTTCAAAGTTTAATACAATTATGTTATACAGTTAATACCTATTTTTTGTCAATAAAAAATTCTTTTTTATTTTTGATTCAATTCTTGCGCTATGGCCTTTGTATCTTAACATTAGACACATCTGCATATGTGTCTAATGATTTGACATGCTGAAATATGACCTTTACCTCAAACTCCACTAGACAGTACTGCATTATGGCAAAGTTCAATTGTATAGTAACAAAAAAAATCTACTTTTGTTATATTAATGCAGTGGCATAACATTTTTTCACAAATGCATTCTTGTTTTTCTTCTGTAATACACAAAAGGATTCATACTTTGACAAAACAAATGTGACAAGACAGACCTATTAAAATATAAAAAGGAAACGTTAGACTTGTTCAATCGTTTTTTTGTTTGCTTTTAGAAAAAGTAAAAAGTTGAGTGTTGCCCCCGCTCGGCGGTGGATCTTGTAAAAACAAAAGAAATCTTCTACTATTATACTATAGAAGCTTTATCTTAGATATTTTGTCTGAAACATTGTCTGGTGGACCTGTACAAAAATTGATCAAATTTTGTAACAGCCATAATTTGGTCAAAATCAGACCGGCCTCTGGCAATCATTGATTTTTGTTCTATGTATATAGTCAAAACAAAAGAAATCTACTATTAAACTATAGTGGCTTTGTCTTAGATATTTTGTATGAAACATTGTCTGTTGGACCTCTATTAAAATTGTTCAAATTTTGTAATAGTCATTTGGTCAAACTTAGTGGTCAGGCCTCAGGCGATCCTATGTTTATAGTAAAAACAAAAGAAATCTTCTACTTTTATACTATAGAGGCATTATTGGCTGGTTTGCACAGGACTGGTGCAAACCCGGGTAATAGTATGGTGAATGTCGGGCAGTGGACGAAAAAAATTTGTAACAGTTTTCTCAGCAACTAAATTTTTAATTTAAATGGTTAATAAATTTTTGATATTAATGGTGAATAGTAGGAATTAGTCGTAAGAGTTTTCTCAGGAACTACTTATCACAGCCTCTTGATATTTGGCATACAGCATTGACACATGGTCCCATACAGTGGGATTTAATATCAGGTCTGTCATTCATTTACTTCCTGTTAACTGACTTATTTAAATCTTCCACATTAAAGGTCAGTGGTAAATTTTTTTCGTAACATTACAGCATCATGATATTTGGTAAAGTAATGCAACCCGGCCTTTTCTGTCTGACCCATTTTTTATGCCCCCTTCAAAGAAGAGGGGGTATATTGTTTGGCTAATGTCGGTAGGTCGGTCTGTCCGTCAGAAGACCACATGGTTTCCACTGATTATCTTGAAAACTATATATCACAAAGTCTTCATATTTCACGTAGTGATCGGTCATAACTAGTAGATATCCTCTTATGATTTTGGGGTCAAAGGTCGATGTCACAGGGTTCTTAAATGTCAAAATGGTTTCCGCTAATTATCATGAAAACTATTCATCACAAAGTCTTCATATTTCACATAGTGATTGGTCAGAACTAGTAAATGACCTCATTGATTTTGGGGTCACTAGGTCAAAAGTCAAAGTCACAGGGCCTTAAATATCAGAATGGTTTCTGCTGATTATCTTGAAAACAATTCATCACAAAGTCTTCATATTTCACATAGTGATTGGTCAGAACTAGTAAATGACCTCATTGATTTGGGGTCACTAGGTCAAAGGTCAAGGTCACAGAGGCCTTAAATATCAGAAAGGTTTCTGCTGATTATCTTGAAAAGGATTCATCACAAAGTCTTCATATTTCACATATTGATTGGTCATAACTAGTAAATGACCCCTATTGATCTTTTGGTCACTAAGTCAAAGGTCAAGGTCACAGGGGCCTTAAATGTCAAAATTGTTTCTGCTGATTATCTTGAAAACTATTCATCACAAAGTCTTCATATTTCACATAGTGATTGGTCATAACTAGTAAATGATCTCTATTGATTTTGGGGTCACTAGGTCAAAGTTCAAGGTCACAGGGGCCTTAAATGTCAGAATGGTTTTTGCTGATTATTTTGAAAACTACCCATCACAAGGTCTTCATATTTCACATAGTGATTGGTCATAACTAGAACATGACCCCTTTTGATCTTGGGGTCACTAGCTCAATGGTCAATGTCACAGGGGCCTTAAATGTCAAAATGGTTTCTGCGGATTATCTTGAAAACTATTCATCATAAAGTTTTCATATTTCACATAGTGATTGTTGTTATAACTAGTAAATGACCTCATTGATTTTGGGGTCACTCGGTAAAGGTCACAGGGGCCTGAAATATAAGAATGGTTTCTGCTGATTATCTTGAAAACGGTTCATCACAAAGTCTTCATATTTCACATATTGATTGGTCATAACTAGTAAATGACCCCTATTGATCTTTTGGTCACTAGGTCACAGGGCCTTAAATGTCAAAAATGTTTTTGCTTATTATCATGAAAACCATTCATCACAAAGTCTTCATATTTCACATATTAAATAGCAATGTGTGGTAGATGTCTCCTATTGATTTTGGGATCACTAGTTCAAAGGGCAAGGTCACAGGTGCCTTACATGTAAATATTGCTTCGGCTTATTACCTTGAAAACTTTTTATCACAGTTTTCATATTTCACATATTAGTTAGTCATAATGGGGTCACTAGTTCAAAAGTCAAGGTCTTTATACTTCACATATTGATTGGGTATAACTAGTAGGTCATTATTTTGCTTTTTTCCATAACTGAAAACTTCCATGTACCCATTTATGGCAAGTTTCTATAACCAATAATGTAAGTCAAGGGCTAGAAAGGGGGTCATATGTGTGGTCCGACATTTCTTGTTTAAATTCATTTTCATACTCTTCGAGGTATACTTTTTAGACACTGGAAAATAGGGGAACTAAGTTTTTTTTTCGCTTTTGATATTTTCATCCAGCAGTGCAAGGTTCTTTTTTGAGCCTCGGAAATAGGAAATAGTCACAAGAGGCAAGATCTGGTGAATAAGGAAGATGAGGAAGCTCGACAACCTTTTCCTGTTACAGAATATTCTTGTACAATGACCGCCTTGTGTGACAAAAACATTGTCATGCAACAATCTGACACAGTGATGATATTTGCAAAAGATCGATTGTTGTATTTAGGGAACTTTTTATGCTCCCCAAAAATTTCGGAGGAGCATATAGTCGGCGCCTTGTCCGTCTGTCTATCCGTTGTCTTGTCCGGAGCATAACTTGAAAATCCTTGGAGATAATTTGTTGAAACTTCATACAGTGGTAGAGGGCATTGAGGGGGAGTGCAGTGTCAAAGAACCATTACTCTATTTTGCCCGGTTTTTGAATTATCTCCCCTTATAGACAAATCTTGTCCGGGGCATAACTCTAAAACTATAAGAGATATCAACATGAAACTGTGTAGGTGAATAGATCTCAATGGGTAGATGTGCAGTGCATAAGAACAATAACTCTTTTTGTCCTAATTTTGGAGTTATTACCCTTTGTTAATTTTAACACTTTGAACTTTGTCCGGAACAAAACTCTAAAATTATAAGAGATATCAAGATGAAATATTGTAGGTAGATAGACCTCATTGAGTAGAGGTGCAGTGCAAAAGAACCATAACTCTTTTAAGCCTCATTTTTGAATTATCTCCCCTTTTAGAAAAATCTTGTTCAGGACTTAGCTGTAAAACTATAAGAGATATCAACATGAATCTTTGTAGGTAGATATATCTCAATGGGTAGATGTGCAGTGCACAAGAATCATAACTCTGCCTTGCCTAATTCTGGAGTTATTGCCCTTTGTTTATTTTTACTTTTTGAAGTTGTCCGGGACATAACTCGGAAATCATAAGAGATATCATCAAGAAACTTTGTAGGTTGATAGATCACATTGATTAGAAGTGCAGTGCAAAGAACAGTAACTCTGCCTTGCCTAATTTTGGAATTATTGCACTTTGAACTTTTTCCAGGGACATAACTCTGAAACTACAAGAGGTGTACTTTCCTGTGTCCAAAACCTATTCGGGGAGCATCACCCGGCTCAAACCGGGCTCTTGTTTAACAATTGTTTGGAGATTCTTACCCGAGGCTGAGCAAGTTTATGCTCTTTTGTAGAGATGGGGTATCCGTATGGCAGTTATCCTTCTCATTTTTAAATCATGTCTGAGAATTGTATGAGCGGCTTCTACAGAGATACCAAAGCATTAAGCTCTATTCCTAGTTGTAAATCTTACATCAGTAGCAATCAAATCTTTAACTTTTTCAACCATTTTGGCGAAGTTGCAGTTCTCGAATGGCGTGCATTAGGTGCATCTTTTACTGAATTTCTTACACCAACGTGTGACAGAAGAAAAAGAAAGTTCATTGTTCCCATAAACATGACATATTTCATTAAATATGTCTTTGGCCTGTATACCATGAATGCAGCGGTTATTGATATAGGACCGTATTAGGTCAATGAAAAGAGACCTTTTCCCAACCATTTTAACTTTAGTATACACAAGTAGATAGCGCAAATCGAGCTATTGTCACAGCTGTACTGAACTGATTTGCCCATGTATTGTATCCATTGAGAGCCTACACAACCATCTATGTGATACATGTACATAGTTTGTGCAAAATTTGGTAAAAAGCGAGATATTGACCTAGTTGCATTCATATTTGAACACCTCGTACTATTAAAGGTATTTGTTCATTTAATATCATGGTGCTAGTTTCAGCCATAGAATTGCACAATTCTGCGTTACTTTTGTACTATTTTTGTTATGATATTATTGCAGTCAATGTATTCTGTACACTCATCCAGGCCATTTTCCTTTTCAGGCTACTTCCAAGAACTGGAAGATTGCTCCTAACATATATGAGTTTTCTGCTAAAGACATTGATGGGAATGATACATGCCTGGAAAAATACAGGTAAGTTTGTGTAATTCTTAAAGGTACATTATGTCGCAGAAATCCATATTTTTTTTAAATTTGTAGATATATCAATATGCTATTTGTTTTGTAAATTATTTACATTACAGGATCTTTATTTATTGCAAATCATATTACAAGAAACACAGAAAAATATTTTCATCATGAACTATCAATAATTTACATCTATAGGGATATATGTACGTCCCTTCTGGTTTGCGGTCACACTTGCATAAAGGTTAGCAACTTTTACATCTGTGTGATACAGGACTTTTTAGCTCGCCTGTCCGGCGTCCGTCTGTAAACTTTTACTTTAAACGACATCTCTTCATAAACCACTAAGCCAATTACATCCAAACTTCACAGGAATGTTCCTTTGGTAGTGAACTTTAAAAATTGTTCAAAGAATTTAATGGACCTTTCTGGTGTTTACAGTTTTATGTAAATTGGCTAACTTGTAATCCATTCGCTACACTGAGGTAATACATAGTCATTGGTTGACCTGGTTTGCACAAAAGAACACGTGCTTATGTTTGTGATACTGTTTGTGAGCAGTTGACCTAGCAATGAATGGAAAAGGTGTGGCTAAATGTTCCACTACGAAAAACCAGAAAGGTCCATTCCAAGCAGAACTCTGGTTGCCATGGCAACTGAAAGAAAAAACTAAAAATATCTTCTATTAGAAAACCGTAAGAGCTAGAGCTTAAATATTTGGCATGAAACATCATCTAGTCAGTGTCTACCAAGTTTGTTCAAATAAATGCCCTAGGGTCAAAATTGGACCCGCCCGGGGGGTCATTGATTTTCCTTATTTGTACATAGTAAAAACTTTAAAAAAATCTTCTTTTAAAAAAACCCAAATAGCTAGAGCTTAGCTATTAAGCATGAAACATCTTCTAGTGTGTGTTTACCAAGTTTGTTCAAATAAAAGCCCTGGGGTCAAAATTGGCCCCACCCCAGGGGGGTCATTGATTTTCCCTTTATGTATATAGTAAAAACTTAAAAAACTTCTTTTAAGAAACCTTTAGAGCTAAAGCTAAGATATTTAGCATGAAACATCTTCTAATGGGTGTCTTCCATTTTTGTTCAAATAAGGGCCCTGGGGTTAAAATTGGCACCGCCCGGGGCATCATTGATTTTCCTTATATGTATATAGTAAAAACTTAAAAAATCTTCTGTTAAAAAACCCAAAGAGCTAGAGTTTAGATATTTAGCATTTATTATCTGCTAGTGATTGTCTACCAAGTGTGTTCAAATTAAAGCCCTGGGGACAAAATTGGCCCCGCCCAGAGGGAGGGGTCATAATGTTTTTCCTTATATGTGTATAGTAAAAACTTAAAAAATCTTCTTTGAGAGCTAGAGCTTACCGGTAGATATTTATCATGAAACATCTTCAAATGGGTGTCTACCAAGTTTATTCAAATAAATGCCCCTGGGTTAAAATTGGCCCCGCCCCGGGGGCCTATATACAGGTGATTGATTTCAGGGCCATCATGGCCCTCTTGTTTAGGGTAGTACTATAAAAAAACGATTAGAAAATTTGATAACCTATATCAGGGGTAGTATTAGACAAAGAGCCAAGAAGGTTTTAAACTGATTCTAAACTTTGCCTCACTTTTTATAACAAGATATATTGAAGGGGATTATAGGAATGGCCTCCGTCTGTCAGTCCGTCCGTCTGTCAGCAATACCAAATAAGGATAGGGGGCCATATAACTGTAAACAAAGCAAAAGAGAAGAATAAAATTAATTCCGTAACAATAGAATAAGGGACCATGGCCCTTTATTAAACAAAAGAAAATAACAATAGAAATGGCCCTTTATCCCTATTCAGTCGGACGTCCGTCGGTCTGTCAGTCCTTAACACGGACGTGTCTGCTCCATAACTTTTAAACTGCTGAACAATTTTTAGCTCACCTGTCACAAAGTGACAGAGTGAGCTTTTGTGATCGCTTTTCATCCGGCGTCCGTAAACTTTTACTTTGAATGACATCTCCTCATAAACCACTAAACCAATTTCATACAAACTTCACAGGAATGTTCCTTTGGTGGTCACCTTTAAAAATCGTTAAAAGAATTTAATTCCATGCAGAACTCTGGTTGCCATGGCAACTGAAAGAAAAAACTTTAAATATCTTCTCTTAGAAAACCCAAAGAGCTAGAGCTTAGATATTTGGCATGAATCTTCTAAAGAGTGTCTACCAAATTTGTTCAAATAAAAGCCCTGGGGTCAAAATTGGCCCGGTCCCAGGGGGTCATTGATTTTCCCTATATGCATATAGTAAAAAAAAATCTTCTTTTAAAGAACCCAAAGAGCTAGAGCTAAGATATTAAACATGAAACATCTTCTAATGAGTGTCTACCAAGTTTGTTCAAATAAAAGCCCTGGGGTCAAAATTGGCCCCGCCCCAGGGGGTCATTGATTTTCCCTATATGTATATAGTAAAAACTTTAAAAATCTTCTTTTAAAGAACCCAAAGAGCTAGAGCTAAGATATTTAGCATGAAACATCTTCTAATGGGTGTCTACCAAGTTTGTTCAAATAAAAGCCCTTGGGTCAAAATTGGCCCCGCCCCAGGGGGTCATTGATTTTTCCTATATGCATATAGTAAAAACTTTAAAATCTTCTTTTAAAGAACCCAAAGAGCTAGAGCTAAGATATTTAGCATGAAACATCTTCTAATGGGTGTCTACCAAGTTTGTTCAAATAAAAGCCCTTGGGTCAAAATTGGCCCCGCCCCAGGGGGTCATTGATTTTTCCTATATGCATATGGTAAAAACTTTAAAATCTTCTTTTAAAGAACCCAAAGAGCTAGAGCTAAGATATTTAGCATGAAACATGTTCTATTGGATGTCTACCAAGTTTGTTCAAATAAGAGCCCTGGGGTCAAAACTGGCCCCGCCCCAGGGGGTCATTGATTTTCCCTATATGAATATAGTAAAAACTTCAAAATCTTCTTTTAAAGAACCCAAAGAGCTAGAGCTAAGATATTTAGCATGAAACATGTTCTAATGGATGTCTACCAAGTTTGTTCAACTAAGAGCCCTGGGGTCAAAATTGGCCCTGCCCCAGGGGGTCATTGATTTTCCTTATATGTGTATAGCAAAAATTAAAAATCTTCTTGGAAATAACCCGAATAGCTAGAGTTTAGATATTAAGCATGAAACATCTTCTAGTAAGTGTCTACCAAGTTTGTTCAAATAAAAGCCCTGGGGTCAAAACTGGCCCTGCCCCAGGAGTGTCATTGTTTTTAAATACTAGTATATGTGTAAAGAAAAAACTTTAAAGATCTTTTTTTAAAAAACCCAACAAGCTAGACCTTAGATGTTTAGCATGAAACATCTTCTAATGGGTGTCTACCAAGTTTATTCAAATAAAAGCCCTGGGGTTTAAACTTGCCCCGCTCAAAGGGGGGGGGGGGGGCTATATACAGGTGAGCGACTTCAGGGCCATTATGGCCCTCTTGTTTATACAAGTAATAAACAATGATTTTAATTTTTTTTTTCATCTTTTTAATGTCATTTTCATCTGAAATATTTCAATTACATTGTATATTAAAGTTTCACACAATTTATTACATTTTCCGTCTATGTATAACTCTTTCAGTATTTATATATAAAATGTTTCTATTATTATTTATAATTTTAATTAAACATTTTTAGTATTCAAAAAAGAAAGAAGCAAAAAAAAAAAAGGAAAAGAAAACACAAGAAGAAAAAGATTTATTGACAAAAGTAAATTTATCCCATATTCTATACTGTCAGCTTATTCGCCAGCAGTTTAGAACCGTCCACTAGAAGGTTTGTCGACAATGCGATAACGCGATGACGACAGTGCGACAATGCGATGGCGACAGTGCGACACTATCACTAACACTATCGCTCTGTCGACATCGTACTATTGCATTGTCGCCGTCGCATTGTCGTCGTCGCATTGTCGTCATCGCATTGTGGTCATCGCATTGTCGCCCTCTGTATTTTAACGTTTAACCACGATGGCCCTAACGGTATTCCATAATATGCACTAAATGATCTTGTTATCACAGCTAACATCAAAAGTGTAAAGTCCAGTGTGGCAGCTGTAAAAAGGTGCCCGTACTTCACTTAAGTGTTCTTATGTTTTCTCTGGTCCTTTGGGATCACAACAGTGCTGTGTGGAAGCTGTAAAAAGTTGCCAGTGTTTTAAATGTTACATTTTTCTGGTCCTTTGGGGTCATTGATACCAGCACTATTAAGTGTTAAGAATTGAGTTCCGTCCATTGGCAAAATTGGATCCCGCGATAATGCAAAAAGTCCTGAAAATATTATTATGAAACTTGATATATGGATAGATGGCAGTAAGGCCCCCACGGTTACGCGTTTAAACGGATTCGTTTCGATTTTCAGCCGAAAACGTTTACGATAATTCTTACCGTTTAATCGAAATGAGCATATTGTCTTACAAAATATCTTAATCATTGCCTGTAATCATGAATTCTATCAATTGTAATTGGTTTATTCCAAAGTTAAATACGGAAAATAGGTATTTACAACCCTCCACACAGCATTACCGTGCACTAATCGTGACATAATACATTGGTAAAGTTGATGTTTAATGAGGATACAATGCAGAAAATGTGTGTGGACTCAGTCGTAATGAGTTCTGAACATTAAATTATTTGTAAATAAAAAGTAAGTCATCATATGGAGACTTGAATACATGGTGTAGTATAGTACAAAGAAGTACCACCGTTTAAACGGTATCGTTTCGGTTCTTAGCAATCGTGTAAACCTTTACAAATATTGTAAACGTGGGAGCCTTAGATGGCAGTCTGGAGATTATGCATGTCTTTTTCTTTTCTTCTTATTTTGAAAAGTTTGGTTGCTATGGCTACAAATAGGCTTAAAATATGGCAAATATAGCAATATTTGTCATTACTCAAAAAGTAGTGAAACCATTTTTATAAAACTAAAAATTTATGATTCTGATCATCAACCGCATCATATGTGACAAGGTTTAC